GGGGTGCCCAAACTCGGTCCTGGAGGGCCGGTGTCCTGCAGAGTTTAGCTCCAACTTGCCTCAACACACCTGCCGGGAAGTTTCTAGCATGCCTAGTAAGAGCTTGATTAGCTGTTTCAGGTGATTGATTGGGGTTGGAGCTAAACTCTGCAGGACACCGGCCCTCCAGGACCGAGTTTGGGCACCCCTGGTTTAGATGATGCCACAAAGCCTGGTTCAAGCGCCAAAAGTGCTGCTGCATTTATAGCACATTCTTTATCAAAAAAGGGGCACAACTGATCAGAGGACAAAAGAAGGGTTAAAATGTTACATTTACAGCTTTCAAACTCAAAACCACTGCAGTCTTTAACATACCTTTATCTGATCTTGGAATGAACAAAGTTGCTTTAGGAGACACTCCAACTGAATTGACCGCAGTTATTTCAATGCTGGCCATTTTTCCCGTTGGCAGCTCCATCGAATACGTCTGTCTGAGATTATCTGCTGTTATATTGTGGCTTTCAAACATCTCGTTATCCTGGTTGATACTCAAGTTATATAACAGTATTTTTCCATTCGCTTTTACAGGAGCCTGCAAGAGAATACAATATGAAAACATTCACTATTTAACTTGTAAACAGCAATTGAATATTACATTTATTACAATAATACTATTATTGTTATTTTAGCACCTGCAAGGTGAAAAAAGGAATTTACCTTCCATATTAATGTGACTTTTCTATTATTAGAAGTGGGCTGAATGATTCTCCAAAGATCTGGTGCGCTTGCCGGCTCTGAGAAAATAAGATGGTGTAAAAATGGCCTGATGAGCATTAATGCTGCATTTCGCAATGCTGGGAAGTAATTAAACAGTGATGCTACTAATTAACTATGTATTTCAGTAGCCTGACAGTAGGTTAGCTGCTTTTTTACATCACTGTTTTTAATGCCATATTGTTTGCACACACTTTACAGTCAAGCAAGTCGAGAGAATAATCAAACTCACTCTCCTATATACTGTGTGGGGAAGTCTGATTTATTCAGTTCAACTGGTTAGTCCTAAATAATCTTTTCCAATTGGTGAGTCTAGTAAAAGCATATGTTCGGATTCAATCTCTTGCCTGTTCTCTGTTGTCCTTAAAAGCTAAAACTCCTTAAAAGAACACATTTTGCCTAAAGGTGGTAAGTTGTAAAGATACACTAATATTGTTACTAGTAGTAGTGTTAGAGTAGCTAACTAGTTCTTTAAAAGGGTAGCTATAGTTTCAGAGAACACAGTTCTTAAAGGGATAGTTCACCCAAAAATGAAAATGTGATGTTTATCTGCTTACCCCCAGAGCATCCAAGATGTAGGTGACTTTGTTTCTTCAGTAGAACACAAACGAAGATTTTTAACTCAAACCATTGCAGTCTATCAGTCATATAATGGAAGTGGATGAGAATCACGGCTTCAAGAGTAAAAAAAACATACACAGACAAAACCAAATTAAACCCTGCGGCTCGTGATGATACATTGAGGTCTTAAGACACGAAACGATTGGTCTGTGCAAGAAACTGAACAGTATATATATAATTTTTTACCTCTGATCCACCGCAATGTCCAACTGTCCTGAGCTCGTTCACAACATCCGGCGCGTGACGTCAAATAAATACGGTTGGGCAAAAAACTTTCACATTGTCTGATGATATATCAAAATCGTCTTCCATTGTGATGACCTGTACTTCTAAATATCTTTAGATCATCGCAGAGCCAGTGAACACGTCCGCAATCTCTCTGCACTGTGGAAATAATGAGTGACGTATACGCGCGACAGATCGCTTCCGCACATTACTACCATAGGTATGTATAGATGCCCTATTCGACTGCTCTAGATACGTTATTTTGGAACGTATCGCCCATAGAAACAGTCACTAATGAGGCATCTACTTATATATATCTGTCTACTATGCCAGAGCACGTACACACGTCATGCGCCGGATGTTGTGAACGCGCTCAGGACAGTTGGACATTGCGGTGGATCAGTGGTAAAAACGATATAAATACTGTTCAGTTTCTTGCACAGACCGATCGTTTCGTGTCTTTACACATCAATGTATCGTCACGAGCCGCATGGTTTAATTTGGTTTTATTTGTGTATGTTTTTTTTTACTCTCAAAGCCGTGATTCCCATTCACTTGCATTATAAGACTGACAGCCTGCAACAGTTTGAGTTAAAAATCTTCGTTTGTGTTGTACTGAAGAAACAAAGTCACCTACATCTTGGATGACCTGGGGGTATGCAGATAAACATCACATTTTCATTTTTGGGTGAACTATCCCTTTAACATCAACACTAAAGTGAGATTCAAAATTGCAGGGAGAGTTTATACTCAGAGGACACTAAATTTACCCATAAGTCATTGCTCACTACCTCAGCAGATCGCTTCCGCACATTACTACCATAGATATGTATAGATGCCCTATTCGACTGCTCTAGATACGTTATTTTGGAACGTATCGCGGCCCATAGAAACAGTCACTAATGAGGCATCTACTTATATATATCTGTCTACTATGCCAGAGCACGTACACACGTCATGCGCCGGATGTTGTGAACGCGCTCAGGACAGTTGGACATTGCGGTGGATCAGTGGTAAAAACGATATAAATACTGTTCAGTTTCTTGCACAGACCGATCGTTTCGTGTCTTTACACTTGTTTTTGGGTGAACTATCCCTTTAAGGAGTATTTATTTTAGAACCCTTCCATCAACGTTTCCGAGATTATGAATAATACAGGTCATACTGGCTTCTGCAGTGCTCTCTGTAATGCTGTGGCTCCAGTTACTCCAGTAACTGCTATAACTTTCTCCAATGCATCGCATCTGCACCACATATTGAGTGTACGGCTCCAGAGACTGCAGTCTGAATGACTCGATGTACCCTCTGGTGAAGCTCTCCGGCACCTAAAACAATCATCAATTCATAAATGAAACAGTGTGTTATTTTTTTAGAGGTTATATGCAAGATGAAAATAATTCAAGCTTGTACTGCACTGTCTGCACTTGAGCCATAGTAGTGCTTTCCACACCTGAAATATTTAACCCTGGGTAACAGAAGCTTTCATATTCGCGCGATGTTTTGCGCAGCTCGTCAGTGAACAACGGCTCTGTGTAGTTAATGCTGCTCAATGTGAAAGCCCGCAGGTGATGGAGATTTACCGCTGATTACAGAACCGGCTTTACTGATAAGATGCGCGTTAAATATCGCATGTGATTTATCGTGCAGCCCTACTTCACACTGTTCACTAATTAATTCTGGGTCTTCATAAGCTGCTGTTTGTACATTCCTAACCCCGGGTTAACATTCTTATTTGCATATATATATATACAGTGGGTACGGAAAGTATTCAGACCCCCTTAAATTTTTCACTCTTTGTTATATTGCAGCCATTTGCTTTGATTTAAGGCTATCTGTTGCACAAAGTACAAAGTTATATAAATAAACGTGACGTGACTGGACTTTACTGGAGTACTAAACTGCAGAGATCGTGTAACATCCACATCGCTGTAATCAGATGCGTGCTTAACTGCTGCTTTCACACTGCGGTTAGTTTTTGTTGTGTTTATTTTGTTACTGAGAGGAAAGTATATTTACATAATCATCCAAACGCCTCTCAGCAGCTTCAGGTGTGGCTGCGTTTGCTATGAACTGAAGCGCTGTGTCTTCTTCTTTTGAATTGCATCCAGGAGGGCGGAATTACTGTCTTGCGCTACAGCGCCACACTGGTCAAACCGCGTTATTGCAGGTTCTTACATTAGGTCACATGAGATCAAACGACTACTCAACAACAAAAAGATTTGTTGACATTTTTTATTGTCGACGTTGTCGATAATGTCGACTAATCATTTCAGCCCTAATATGGAGCTCAAGAAACATTTCATAATTTTTTTTTTTGCTGCAGCATAGCAGAGTCCACACCACAGCTGTAATGATAAAGGCACAGAGAAACAATATCGTTGGAGTCCCTTTCAGAATGATTTTTTTCCAGCTGATGAACGATAAAAACATTGACACCCAATCAGAATCAATCCTGCTTTAACGAGCTCGAGAATTTAAAGCAGCAGAGGAGTGTGCACTTAGAATAAACCGACAATATCGTTCGCTGGTGTGGACGCTAATATCGTTATCTTTATAGTTATCGTTCTTGGTGTGAACGGGGCTTTAGAAAGACGATAACCCGGACTCACAGTGTGAAAAAACCCTACTGAAATGTTTCAGTAGGCAAATAAAATGTCCGATAGGAATCAAATCACACCATGTTTTTACTAACAATCATTATCCACAGTAGTGTAGTCAAAAGTACTGATTTCATTGTAGCCAATCACAGTCAAATCTGTTGAGCGCGTGAACACAATGGCCAAATCAGCAATTTAAGAATCGGCTCAACAATATACTTGACCCCAGTTTGCCTTAGTAAGATATATCCTGGTGCATCTCCTTTGTGCAACACATAAGTGCACCATTATGCACATTTTTTTGGAACTGCGAAAAACTAAAGGAGTTTTGGGATAGTGTACATGAGTTCTCTGTGACTGTCCTGGGAAAGAAATATCACAAGACTCCTTTTTGGGGTGAACTTAAATGAGATATCAGACCCTTTATTTATCAAAAGGGTAGATCTGATTTCTTACGTATCTAAGAAAGGGAAAAAGAAACACCCTCCAACATTTGAACTATTTTAAAATATCATAAACGACACACTGCATATGGAATATTTAACATACAGTTTAAAAAACAAAACCCACATCTTCTTAGAGACCTGGAATATTTTTTTGGACCTATTATGAACCCTTTGACTTGTGCCTATACAACTTAATATCCATTGTTATCACAATGACCATTCATGTGCTGTAATTTTATTTCAGTTTTAATTTGCTAACACAAATTGGATTTGAGGATGTATATGTTTTCATATTTGTATACTCTGATGCTACTTAATGTAGAATATTATTTTTGTTATTGTTTTGATTGTTGTTATATTGTAAATTGCTAAATAAATAATAATAATAAAAAAAAGAATCGGCTCAACAGCGCTCACATGCTAGTGGGAAATTAAAATTCAAAACGTTTTTAAAATTTCAGTGTCAATTGGTGCCGAAGTCGGAACTTTTGACAACACTAATTTGTCAAACCATTTTAAAATCTGAATTGCTTTTGGCTTTACCGTACCTCGATCCAAACATCAGATGCTGCTTTGCGGTATTCGATGGCATAAGAGAGTTTCAGAATGGTCCTGTCAATGGGATGTTTCCAAGTAACCATGAGACATGTGGGGATGTTAACTTCAGTGAGGACTTGGACATTCAGTGGAGGATTTGGTTTCGCTACAAAACAAACACACAAAAAGCCAGTTGAAGTGATGCATTCATACAGAGTGTAAAATGCATCCTTTCCTAATTCACAACACGAAATCATACCGAAATAGGAAGAATCGGTTTGAAGTTCTTCTGACCGCTCTGACCCCAGAGCATTCTTCACTTCAACCCACACTTTTAAAACCATATGAATCGGAAAAGTTTCCAGGTTGACGACGCAGGATCTTGCAAGATGCTGATTACAGTCAGCTTTATATGTTTGAACTGACCCAAGTCTAAAATAGAAAGAGGAAGTAAATGACACTCGTCTTTCACTTTGAGTCATTTGGAAAAAGACAAAAAAATCTAAAAGGTGTAGAAGCATATACAGTGTTATCAGGACTTCTGTTACTTAACACATACACGTTGGCATAAATGGTGTAAGTTGTGTCGATCAGCAGGTTTCGCGATCCTGGATCCCAACTACAGTTTAAGTAAGAGGAAATATCCTTGTCCTCTTGCACAGCAATGCATGACAGATTCTTTGGTTTCAATGGAGGATCTGGAGACCATGAACAGAAAAACAATGGATGCATGAAGTAGTTTTCTTGAAGTTCAAGTGTTTAGCAAATAATGCAAATGGTTTCAAATAATGAGAAAAGATTTCACATTCCTATCAGACTTTCATTATTTGCCACCACAGCAGGGTTATTTTCCTCCTACAGGTTTATAAACAACTGCATAGAAGATTCTTAAAGGGTCAGCTCATCGAAAACTGAAAGTCGTTATAATTAACCAAATCTTCTGAGATAAGATATACTTAAAAATAATATTTTAATATTTAAGTTATTAAATGCTTCAAAAAGGTTGGCGCGCCAGATTTGACATCAGAGAACCAACGAGGATTAACATTATTAAAGAAAAGTACTTCATTTGAATTTCAAAACTTGTTTTTTAAAATGTTTCGAAATACTTAATAAATAGATAAATTACACTGGATATTCTGCAATATTTTGTGTTTTAGAACAGCAAATGTTCATCCTGGAAAGAGCAATCCCTACAATATGTACAAAACTAAAACACAGCTGGAGTTATGAAGAATCCAAGTCTTTTAATTCTAAAGCAGCATGTGTGATTTTGGCAGGAAAACACTTACATCCCGTACGGAGTAAGATTCCATAGATACACGTTCGTGCGTATGACAGGGACTTCTTGGCGGCTCTGCACCGCAACCAACCGCTCATGTTACTGTTGATGTTAACAGTAACACTAACAGATGTTTCATTTATTTTGCGGTAAGACTGCTTTGCAATGCTGACGTTCCCCAAAATCCATTCAATGTCATCTGAGGTGTAAGCGGAGCCTTCCAGGAGGTGACATGTCGCGGTGAAGTCTTTTCCCACCTCAAGAACAATGCTACTGCTGGAGTCTGGAAGAATCTTCACACAACTATTAGTGGGACCTGTGTGACAAAACACTGAACTGAGTATCACATCAAAACAACAACGATATAAGCGCTAACTGGGAGGTAATAGAGTAAATGACATGGCTTACCTACTGCATAGTGCAAAAACATCAAGAGTAAGAGTAAATCATGTGAAGAGCCCATTGTGACATCAAGGCAGGTATCTGAGAAAAGACGGGAATCAAAAGATAGTATATAGATTGAAAATGTAAATGGTGCATATGTGACCCTGGAGCACAAAACCAGTCTTAAGTTGCTTGGGTATATTTTTAGCAATAGCCAAAAAAAACATTGTATGGGTCAAAATGATAAATTTTTCCTTTATGCCAAAAATCATTAGGATATTACAGTTTTTCTCAATTGCTAACACACTATAACTGATTCGTTTGGCACAATTTTCCAAGCCATTCATACAGTTCCTGAAACAAAGACATGTTTCTCAAAACTTTTAACACATTTAACCTGTTTTCACACACGCTCCAATTTGCTCAGTGTTTTCAGCTAAACTCTACACAAGAACGGCATCATTTTGCACAGGTTTAACCATGTTCTCATTTAGAAAACACACAATATAACTACCTCAAGAATCACAATATAAACTCAAACAGCACACATTTATCCATGTGTGAACATTAAGTAGCAAAACTGATGACACACAGGTCAGAATCTCAGGATGATATAAAAAGGAGCACAGGTGATTATGTGATTTGGAAAATTAATCCTATTAGTGGGAGACAAAGAGGAAGAGGAGGGGAAAAGAAAACTGAAGGGGACGGGGTCAAAGGACATTTATTCCTGATGAAATACACAGCACTATAGTTGATCATGTTCTTGTGCATGAGGACAGCTAGCCTACAGGCTCATCTACAGCCTTTCAATACTAAATAATAATATTTTCTTACTGTAAAGCTTATTGTTGAATTTCACTGTATCTGCTATATTTTAAACACATTTAAGTTTACTGTGTGGAGACGTGCTGATATCGCGTTTGATCTCGTTCTGTATCGCGTTGTAGCGTCTGGACCAATCAGACACACCATTTTTCATTTGATTTAACAAATCAATTATTCATTAGATTAACAAATCGTCACAGACCCCTCACCCAATAGACTGGGC